GCTTTGGCTATAAAAATATTATCTGACAGTGATTCTAATGCTTTATTTAGAGTTAGTTGGTATATATTGTGTTAACTGGTTTATTTGAGCTTGGCATTCTGCTGGAGCTCAAATAAGCCTTGAAATAAAAATTAATTTGAAGGATGAAAGTTGTGCAAAATATTAAAGTCTGGTTACTTGATTAGTCCATTCTAATAAAGCATGCAAGGCTATCTCCTTTTGAGAAAGATATTCTTACGGAACTGTCTTGTATTCAAGCTACACATGGAAGTGAAAACTGTACACGACCTACCCATTTGATAGGAATCGTACCATAACAAATTTCCAGATTTCCTCACTAAGCCAGTTGTAGACATTAAATTTAATAAAAAAATTAACAGCATAGAATTATTATGCAATAGGATGCTAAAGAAACATTTTGATGTCAGTAATACCTCTTAAATAGAATGTAACAAGTTTTACATTACCTGTTGGAAGGAATTATTTGTCCACCTGTGTTAAAAGTTAAGAAATGTAATGAAGATTGGTGTTAAAAGTAATAAATGTAATGAAGCTAAAAAATTCATTGCACATAACAGATTTTAAACCAGTGACGGAAACAAGTTACAATAATTTTAGGAACCTAAATGGTTTCAGCAGAAAATCATGTATAGTTTACATCTACATAGAATTATTAAAGCAAATAAGAGCTATTGTGAATTTTGAGTTTTAATAAATTAATTGTGGCAGGAATTTATTGCAGAATGTAACAAACCCACAACTTGTATTAAAGTATGGGATTTTCCATTATATAATAATGTGCTAAATAATTTTCTACTGCGAGATGTATGTGTCGTGTGTTACTGCCTATTAGCCATCATTAAATTAAATGTTACACTATTCTGATCTTTTATAAGTTTCAAAGTACCATACATATGCAGTGAGCATCAAGAACAAATGCTGTTAAAGAGCTATTATCTACAAATAACCAAAGCACATCAGTTATTAAAATATATGGCATTAAATGATAAATTATTGCAGTGGGACGAAAACAATAGCATTTTGAAGTATATCAGTTTTAAATTTTTATGAATGTTATCTGTGTGGAATTTATACAACCAGAAACAGAATAAAGCCTTACAATAAAAATCTATAACTGTCTAAAAGGCCGCATGCTTAAACAGAAAATTATGTTTTTCTTTACAGCAGATGAGAGAAAATATTTCCAGAAAAATTATTGAGGAATGTAAAATATTTACCTTTAGAGCTAACTATATCAATAAAATTTGAATAAAAAGGAAAAAGAAAGGTTAATAAATTATCCAGATTATCCAGAATCAATTAATAAGTAGCTGAATTTTACAGACAAATATTTTTTTTACTGTAGAAATTTCAGAAGTGTTAGATGTATATCCTAGTCTTGCAACTGAAATGAATATACAAAAGTAAATGAAATACGTTACAATATTAATTTTCAACTTGGTGAGAAACTAATGTCATTGGATTTATGTAGTTTAAAAGCAACATCACTTAAATACCTGAATGCTTGGACTTAAGTAGTTTAAAAGGAAAAGCTTATAACATAGCACTTATAAATAATGCAGAAACTTAGCATGAAATATCTAATTTTATAAACCATGCTATTTCAATAATTCTGGCTATTAAAAGAGCTCCAAGGTGAAAGACTCTTAAAAATAATACACAAATTTAATTTAGTTCAATTATGTCTGACTATGGAAGCAGCATTAAGAATATCTTTAACGTTGCCAGTACTGTTGATAGTTGTGAAAGACACTTCAGCAAATTTGAAATAAAAAATACATATCTTCACTTGGTCAACAAACAAACAAACAAACAAACAAAACACCTTTCAAACATTATTATTCTGTCTATAGAGTATGATTTAAGTTGTCAAATACTTTTTGAAAAACCCTTTTATGATAACTCACTTGCCAGTCTGATAGGGTCAAAAGAACTGATTTAATTTTGACACAAATTACAACTCTGTACTCTTGCATTATTGTTTACATTATTTCAAGGGTACATGATATTAATCAAAAAGGAAATTTTTCAAGTTTTTTGCTTAAAAACCGCAATTTAATAAATATATAATACAGTCAAAAGTCTTTAATCTGGACATCCATAATCCAGAATGATCTATAATCCAGACCTCAAAGCAACAAACTTTCTGCGCATGTGCATATGCGTTTATGCATGCGCATAATACGCTTACGCATGCACGTTAAATGTATAATGGACGGTATAAGCTAAGCTAAAATTATCTATTTCAGTTAATGTTGCAGATTGCGTTGTTCCTTAATCTTCTAATTGGATCCTGCTTATTATTTTTTGCAGACTGTTAGAGCAATTTTATAAAAGTAAGTTTGAACTTTCGATTATGTCAAAATGAATTTCCGATTCTGGAGCTGCCAAAGGATCTACAAAGCGAAAGCATGTTTCAATGTCCATTAAACAAAAAGTGGAATTGCTGCAAAAAATGGACAAAGGCACATCTTTTGTTTCTCTAACCATTCCAAAATCTCTTTATCAATTTAATGCTGCTCTGTGGAGGGGGGGGGGAACGTCATGGTGCTAAATGAACTGAAAAATGATCTGTCAGCACTATCCTTATCTTCAGGGCAGATGTTTTTATTTTATTCCGCTTATAATTCCTTACTAAATGTAGTATTTCACCTCAATTGTACTTCCGTCCTTTGGTATGATTTAAATCAAATTCCTCATCATCATAAATATCATGAATACACATCAATAGTTTTCTGGTTGCAATTTCCTAATTTCGACAATGTGTAAAGTCTGCTTTACGCATGTACGCGTTGAAAGAAATGTTTAATAAGTAAACAAATAACTATTAAGCTTTTTTTTTTGTAAATTTTGATACCCTTTAGATCATAATTGCTCTTTATTTCATAAATTATGGTTTCATATTTTTAATTTTATAATTTCTGCATGCCATCTTATCAGATTTAAATTGATGATGTATAATCCGGGAAAACCGATCATCCGGAATCGCCGAAGTCCCGACGAGTCCGGATTAAAGACTTTTGACAGTATATAGTTTTTTGAATACACAATTAAATACCGTTTTAATTATGATTAAATATTATTGTAAGAGTTATGGTATTATGATATGAAATAGTTATCATTGAGGAATAAAAATGTGTAAAGATATAGTTAACTTTTATTGCCTTAGTATATCTGTACATAAAATATTCCATCCTTTTTTATCTATTTATTTATTATAATTATTTCATTTATTAAACAGCCAGTTATCTTTTTGCTTCAGGTGAAACATATGAAGGCATGGTTCTGTCAAGCGCACAACTCTGTGCTCACCTATTTCCTTCAAAGACCACAAAGGATGCTTTCAAGGAATGTATCCGGGAAAGCCTGATTAGCAACCCTCTGAAATGATTTCTCTATCCGTTTCCCCCAAAACAAGACCAGCATGAAAAACAACAAGACATGAAAATTTCAAAATCAAATTTGATACTTCAATACAATCATAACCACCTTAGCAGAAGTCGCCAAATTTTCAAAATGTGGCCAACTCTGGCAAACATGCACATTATTGTTTTTCAGGCAACTATGCTTATAATAGTTTTTCAGTTAAATAACATCGACATTTCCATACGAAAACCTTTTGTTGCATTCCAATGCCTTTTATAGGCTAATCATGATATTTTTTCCTTTAAACTCAATTTTAAAATAAGTGCTTGCGGAATTTGTCAGCAATGGAAGAAACAAGTAACATTTCTGCAGAAAATGCAGTATTTTGCCACAAAACCACTAAAGGGTATAATGATGTCATGAGTTTGGTATATAGCCAATGCACAATGCTGAAAGGGTACAATTCCCCAACTTTTTTTAAGCAAAAAGAGGCTGAGATATATATGAACAGTGGAAAAAAAAATTATATAAGGATATTGCATAAAACGTAAGCATTTTACTTTTATCATATAATTCTTATTTAATAGTTAAAACTGTAATTTAAAATTGAAAAATTGTATTTTTTTTTAATATGTCGATAACCCAGGTATGATAATATTGACAGTTTGGCAGTCTTTTTTAAAAAATCATGAACGTCACCATATTGGAGTTATGGTGATGTGCCATAACTCCAATATGGTGATAAGTAGTTGCGTTACTATGTGCATACTTAAATTTTTACTTATTTGCTTCCATTATGCATTTTACATATAGCTTTATTCATAATTATTGGAAGAATATTTTACATGTGAACATTAAAAAACTATTTTAATATTATTGCACAGTAAATTATGTCTTATTACAAATAAATTGTTTGTAAATAATTCTAAAACGTTTTTAGGAAATAAATCGGTTAACATTACGAAAATTCCTCCATCTTCTGCAATTCTCGATCCAACTCATGCGTATCTCAGCATTTTATTAAAAAAAATTATTTGTTGATGCACCAAAGAAAACATTTTTTCCCCCAATTATGTCATTCTGAACACTGAAACAAATGACAGTTGTTTAACGCTGGATGAAAACTTTACTATCATATTCTACGTTCTTGATTTCCTTACTTATTCCTCATGTGTGCATCATGGACTTTTGCAAATACTTTGGTATAGCTATTATAATTTGCTGTAACTGAGAACACTCTAAACAAAATTTGTGAAATCAAGGTCATGCATACTCCCTTTTTGAGATGTTTCAGTTTTTGTATATTCAAAAATTTCTTTTAAATAGTAAGAAGTAAATATATGCATGTACAATTTTATCCTAAATTAGAGTTACCCAAATCATCTCTCATAAATTTACTATTTATTTTGATCACATATGTTTCTTAAAATTTCATCAGAAATAATTGTATATGGTAAATTTTATACAGGAATTAATAAAACAGAGCACCTTTTCATGTTGAAGCTGATAGTGCATGCGCTTTCTGACCTTTGAAATTAAAATGTATAGGAAGCTTAATACTTTGCAGGCAATAATAGAAAATTAATTAATAAACTACGGAAAAAGAATATTACCTGTAATAATCAGGTAACACAATGTGAACACCAGCACTTGGCTGGCATATCATTGGACACTTTTGATCATCCATTCTGCGAATAGAATCAGTGAATGGTCCAGTTGCATTAATAACACATTTGGCACGAATATCCCACTCTTTTCCTAAATTATATAAATGCATAATGAAAAAAGTACTTTTATGGATTACCACACAGAAATTATAAAAATTTAGATTTATAAAAAAATTAAGTTTGAAATTTTAATTTATAATGGATTCTGTAGAACTTTCCAGAGTCATCTAGCACTCCCCCTTTTTTTAAGTATTCACAATAGTCTGTTCTAAACAGACTAAACAGTGGAATTTAAATATGCAGGATTAACATCTCCATGTATTTGTCAATTAATAATAAAATTTATCTTTTAACAAATGTTTAGACATGTAGTTTAATGAAGTATCAATTGTTAATATAAGAACAGTATACAATTACTACTATATAGTAAACCTCTAACTTCACACAACTTTAACTATCATTAAAACATTTCTCTTTTACCAGCTTTCAGTTTATGGAGATTCCATCAGCTACTTATTGATTCAAGCATCTTAACACTTCAAAATTTAAATATTAATTCTTATGAAACCAGGTTTCAGAATTAATTTACTGAGGAAAATTTTCACATCTGACTTTGGTAAATTAATCAACTAAAACAAAAATTAGTTTTACTTTTTGTTATGCAAAATGAATTGTTACTATATGAAATGAAAATGCTACCTATTTCAAGACAGAATTTTAAGGCAGGGGAAAAAGATCTGTATTATTTTATCCTTTTTCTTCTAAATGTTTACAGTATGGTGTAATAGCTAACACAGCTTGGAGACCCAAATTCCAGTATAGTGGTTATTTATTTAGTTTTTGCTTTATATTAATTAATTTGTATAGCTATTCCTATTTAAAAAAAATTCTATAGTTATTTTTTACTTTTACAACCTAAATGCTCTTTAAATAGTGATATGCAAATTTAGATTTTAAAACTCTAAAACTTGTTTTCTGTTTTCAGTTCAGAATATGTTTTAGTTTTTAAGGTGCAAAAACTAGGATATCATAATCATGATTTTGCAACCACATAGTTCTGTTCAATCAACTTCACTTTAAGAATTTTAAACATTAATGCTTTCCACAACCACAATACAAGCTTTCTTATTTCACAGTTCTATTAAAGTAAACCAGTTTTGTTATTTTTAGCCCAAAGAGGCATTATACAAGGGCTATTAGTCTCAAAACGGAATTTTGCATCAGTTCGCCACTTCACTTTTCAAATTGTTGCTACCAAATATTATCACCCTGTATTATATTTAAAGAAATTAAATAATGGAGAATTTGCATGATTGTATGTATTTTTCTCACATAGGGAAAAAAGCAACGGGACCTAGAGTCATCAAACGTAGTCCTCCACCTGAATAGGGCCACCTGGAAGACCAAATTTTGAATTTGTTTTACAAGCTATTTCATACTTTGTAAAAACCTTTATTGAATTTTTGATTTAAAAATGCGATGATTTCAAAGTGAGGAGTGGCAACACTATGGAATAAAACATTTTTACCTCTAGCATGCAAGCTGTTTTTAAATATTTTTAGACCAAAGGGCATTAGCCCAAATACTCTCGAAATGTGCATGTGTGTGTAAATGAGAAAATCACAAAAGCTTTCAGGTTTATTTATTTATTTATTTTTCCCAAATAATATAAAAGAATTACATCCAACTGTTATTAGAGGTAATTCAGGATTGACAGAAATAATTAGTAAATTTAATGTTTAAATATTTACAGACTACTAGTTTAAATACTTACAGAATTTGTCATGTGCTATGTTTCTTCACAATTCTTTAATTTTAAATGCAGTATAGAACACAGAAATATAGAGACAATGGTTTAGTTCTTATCAAGGTCTTGATTCCATATTTGATATAAAAATTGTTCAAACAGTTTGCATCATGGTATAACTCACACAATAAATTTTACAATTCTTATTGATAAATTATGGCATTTAAGATAGTTCAATAAGTTTACATTAAAAAGCTAATGAAAAAAATTCCACATTCCAGAAATCCAGGATTAAAATATTTTCCGATTTTTGATTTAAAAAAATCAGATTTTTTATTTTTAATACAAGTTTGACATAAACAATTTAAATACAAAATGCTGTGGCATTTTCAAGGTACATGCATGATCTCTCTAAATGCCTTGATTAATAACAAAGACATCACCTTTCCAAAATATTGTATAGCTAAGTACAGTTTACAATAAACATAGAGTGAAACCTAGCAGTTCTAATTTTATTAAAGTTCTCTGAACACCGGAATAAATTTCATATTTCATGTTCCAAAACAATCAGCGTAACTCAGCAACACTAGAAACAAGAGCACCCAAAAACCTATACTGAAAATAACTGAAAAATAGTTCTAAGTAGCTCTCAGTAAATGCTCTAAACCTGCACAGCTAAAGCAGACTAATATGAATTTCAAATAATAAGCATAATATACTTCTTGATTATATATATCCTAAAAAAAATCTAGACTTCTCTTTCTACTAAAGAAGTTATCTATATTTGGAACATTTGAGGATTTTTCTGAAGTTCTGAAATCCTCCATTTCTTTACAGCTATCTCCAAGAAAATAAAATTTCTTACAGTACTCTCGAAATGTGCATGTGTGTGTATACATGATGATGATAGTTATGCATGACAGGATGATGATAGTTATGCATGTAACTTCAAGGTTTGGTTTATTGAGATTACGGCAAAGCACACTAGGGGCTATCTGCCTAAGGGGAGGGATGCCTTTATGAAGGACTTTGTAAGGGAAACTGGCTCGTATACACGTTACACATGGGGAAAACCATGAAAACTCCCATGCAGCCCGCCCGTTCGTGGGATTCGAACCTCGGACCGAACTAAGAGTGTTCAGCGACTGTACCGTTCCGCTGCTGGTGGGCCTAATACTTACTTCAAATGTAATTGAAAGAGAAAATCTGAACAGATTAATACACTACTAACTAATAGTCCATTCTAGCCTAGCAGTTTTCATAATCATTATTTCCTTGCATCCATTTCCAATCTGTAATAAGGATTAAGCACATTTTCTTGAAGATATAGGTTCATCATGATGAGTTGGAATTCTTATTTAGTGGTCATTTCTGATTATCTTAACTTTCATGATACCTTTGAACAGTCCAAATGATTTCAAACCATTCCAAAACAGTAGTTTTAAAAGAATGGATCAGAAACCAGCAGTGGGTCAGATTTTTGTTACAGAAAGGGGGAAACCTGTTCTCTGTAATTGCCATAGATGAAAAGCTTCTTCTTAATGTGTGTCTGTCCACTATGTCTACAAAAGTCCTCATGCAGTTTTTATTTTCACAATCACTGGTCATAAACATATACTTCAAATTACAAAAATGCTTTAAGTAAGGAAAATATTCATGTTGTGGCATTTCTAAATTAAAAAAAATAATCTTAACCTTTCATAAAGCTCCTGGCCCTATAGTTAGATTTAGTAAAATTTTACACTTATTCTATTAAATAAAATGCAAAATATTTGACTAGTCCATGACAAAAATTTACGATATTAAAACTTTGATTTCATTTTCATGGGTAAAACACAAACTGAAACATTACATTTACATTTGTATATAGCTAAAAATTAAATATCAGCTTAGAGAAAGGTTTTTGGTGTTCAGAGATTAAACAAAGAGCATTTTATGCAAATTGTTGCGAAATATTTTAGTCAATACAGTTTCCCCCCCCCCAAAAAAAAAGAGAGAGAGAGAGACCTTATTCTTAGAATCTTGTAGAATTCTTATTCTAGAAAATAGTAGTAGGCTTCAATACAGGCAAGTAGCTAATTCAAAACATTATTTGCATAAATTATAAGTGATGAATAGTTTTAGGCCAACAAATTTTTTTTTTGTATGATAATTTGATGAATAATTATTTAACAGTATTATCCTACAGTAATAAACTGCATGTGATTTAACACAGTTTAGCATTTTAAACTATTTGCGTGAAAACAATTTCAGTATGCTAATTATAATAAAATTATAAATTAAAAAATGTTACATATTGGTAAGTTCTAAAGGGAAATTTTCTTCTTTTAAATGTCTTTAAAGGGGAAAATATTTAACCAAAAATATTCTAATTTAATTGATCTCTCAAGCAAAGAGCTGACAAATATCTCAAAATTTTAAAATTAAATCTCTGTCAGTTTTTGTTGTAGGGGAGTCAAACTTTTTATATACTATTTTTTAGAACAAATACAAATTTTTGTTAAGTCTAACTACAGGAACCAGAGGATTGTATAAAATATTCAATTTATTAATTTTCCCCAAAAAGATGTTTTAATTTAAAAGTGATTAGATGAATATTTACATCATTTAATATATCTCTGTAACAAGAAGTACATGTTTGCAACTAGCATTTGTGAAACTAAAGGCTTTTTGAAGACTCATAGACATAGTTCTGAAGTTTCTACTCATTGAAAACATTTTACAGATGAACTGTTACACAAAATTAATGATATCATTTAGTTCAATTACACTGAAAGATTTAATATGGAAATAAAAGAGTTAATTTAAGAACTGATTAAAGACTACCATCTTTTTTTTTTTTTTTTTTTTTTTTTTTTTTTTTTATACAGAGTGTGAATAGCTCTATTACAGCAATGGTGACCTCAGTTATTTGGAGGTTATCTAAAACTGCATGAAATTATAGTTTCAAAAAATTCTTAGAAACAGAATTTTCCATTTCTAACTCTTAAGTGGTTGAGAATTATCCAAAGTTTAGGAATTATAATTATATATTAAGCTCCAATCAAATTATTTACACACACATAGACGCACGCACGCATGCACACACACACACACACACAAAAAAAAAAAAAAAAAAAAACTAACCAGTTAGCATATCCTTAACTTTAGCACCATTCACTTTTTCAACACCTTGAGGATCTTTAATTTTGATTAGATCTGTAACCGCTACATGATTAGCAACATTAGCTCCTAGTCTAGCAGCTGTTAATATAATAGCCAGATTCATTCTAGCATCATTGTGTTGACCTAAAAATAAAAACATTATTAACAAAATGAATTATGCAAATTAAATCAATTTTAAAGTAAAGAAAAAACAAATCAAAGATAACTGTTTCTAACCCCATACAATAAGTTTAAAAGAATTTCCCAATTTCTTCACTCACACCTCTATATAAATTACATTTTACATATCAAAATTTCAATTACTATAATCATTTAAAACTATATATATTTCATTTATGCCTCATATGAAAATGGAAAAATAGCCTTTTCATAACGAAAAGCCTTACTAGACTTCTTATTCGGCTAAAATAAAACCCAACAATATTGCTTTTGAAAGGAATGCATTGATTCCCCCTTTTCTGATATCTGAGTTTTAAAGAAAGGTTTATTGAAACATAACTCCTTTTAACTCGACAAAACAGTAACAAAAACTTTAAGAAGAAATCAAGTTAAACGCTGATATATATCTCCACATATAAATGAAGGAGGAGGAACTGTTCCATATTTAATTTATAAGGACTTATCATCTGTCTCCATGCATGTTCTTGAGGTGTACCTCACAGTCCGAAGGTCTATGATTGAAATTCTGGCAATAGCATAGCTGATGTTTCATGTTTCTTGCTTAAAAAAAAAAAAAAAAATCTGCCAAACTGCTCACCAATGGCACTGACTAAAATGTAGTGGATGACAATTCCTCATATTTTCCTTCATATTTTAGCCCTACGCAGAAAGGCTTCATGTTTCAAAATATTCTTAAATTAAATGAAAAATTACTAAAATTCTCTACAATCCAACAGCCTTTCTTAAATCAGATACGTTTTTTATTTTCAAGTATGAATTTTACAAAGTTCAGGAAACATTTGTGAAAAATTATACAAAACTTTTATTGTATTTGGTAATGGAGCTTTTGAGGCATGTGCATATGAATAAAGGTAATGACTTACTTTTAATGAGTGATAAAAATAATTACACAGATTTTTATCACATATAATTTACTACAGAATATTTACACAGTTCAGTCAGATTAATGTGACCATCACCTACCTTTGATGTCATAGTGAAATAACCACAGAAGGTAGGTGGCAGCACATTGCAGTGGACTTTATAAAAAGGGTGTCCGAGAGAATTGGAAAACATTGCAATTGTTGGCGTAATGCAGAAATCTGACGTAATGCAGAAATCTTTATCTGATGTCCAAAATGACATGAGCCCTGGCTTTCAGCCCAATGGTGGAAGCATTTCCAAAACGGCTAATTCTGTAAACTGTTCGCATGCCGCTGAGGTTAAAGCATTAAAGTCTGGGAATGTTTTCATGGCATTCTCTGGGTGCACTCATCATTGTGGAAGATGCAATGGATCAACAAAAATACACATGTCCTTGTGGACCATGTCCACCCACCCCTGCATGCAAATTGTTTTTCCTCAGAATGATGGCATCTACCAGCAGGACAATGTGAAGTGTCATACAGCTCGCAGTGGCTCAACATCCCAGGGAACACCTTCAAGAACCAAACTGACTCCCTTCCTGCATGTCTTGCAGAGGTCCACTCTGCAAAAGGTGGTTATTCTGGCTTTTCACAGGTGGGTACATTAATGTGACTGGACTATGTATATTGTACATAAAATGTCTCATTTATTTGCAAATTTACATATACAGGATGCTTGAAAAGGGAGGCTGAAAGCAAGGCCATCACCAGAGTCAGTAAAACCATTGTGACCACACCAGCAGCACAATTTATGATTAGCAGAGGCTGCAATGGGCAGAAGAAAGCCTAGTGCCAACACTAGCTGATGACTTAAAAAATGTGTAGAAACGAGAACTGTAGAAACATCACAACTCATACTAAATGATAAACACTAATAAATAAAACACTGAGTTTTAAGTTTAACTTACCATCATAATAGACTAAAGCTCCACACAGCTTATCTTTTTTTAGCATTGGAAAAAGTTCCAGTGCTCTCTCCCTAGATAAAAAGTAACTAGATTTTACCTGTTGCCTGCCAGCAACAAAATCATATGCTTTTATACCAATCCAGTAATACGGTACTTGCCACCACCTAAGAATAGAGAAAATAATATTTTTATGTATGTGTTTTAAAATAAAGCAAACAGAAAGTACAAGGATGTATATATTTCAAAAAGTACTTGAATCTTGATTTCTAGAGAAAGCTCTTTAGAGTAAATAAAATTCCCAGGTGGTATGAATGTACCACATTTCTTATAAAAATCAGTTAAGAGTTTGGATACTCTTCTATTAATGTCACCATCTAATTTTCTAATGCCAAGTCCAGTGAATTTTGCAGATGTAGAAGCTACCGTTACAATTTATTTTTCCTTTCTTTTAATAAAAATAACAGCATTTTACAGCACATTTTTTTGGGGGGGAATATAATTAGTTATACACTCGTGCTCAAAAAATAAGCAACAGATGCTAAAAGAAAAGGTATCAATGTAGAAAGGGGAATTAAAACATACAATTTACGCATATGAGGCAGAGGTTACATTGCTGAATTCGTAGGCAAACAAACATATGACGCAAGTCTGTGTTCACACCACAATGCCTAAAAGGAGGTACACCAGACCTTACGCATCAGTTTACCAACAGCGATAGTTCCATGTAATCCAGAAGATAGCCAAAGCAGAAAGCATGAGCCAAAGATACCACCTGCATGATGAAATGCATTGGATGGCTGTCAAGATGTTGCAAGCTGTGCAAGAAAATTCATTGTTACGAGACAGCTGAATGTGCATCATAGTGTCATCAGTAGACTGTGAAAACATTACCAAAGGATCAAAACCACTGTACAAGATATGGGTTTGAATGCCAGAGGATTACTGCAATAGCAGATGATTGCTTCCTGTTGCTATGTGCAAGATACCACAGCAAGCAGTCACACCTCTCTGCTGCTACCCGTCAAACTGTATTGCATCGACTGCATGAAGGTGGACTGTACCCCTGACAGCCTGTAATTTGTGTTCTTTTATCCCCATCAGATGTCAGAGCGAGGTTGAATTCAGCCCATCAACACTGCAGTCAGTTACCAGAGCAGTAGGGACACTTTCTTTATGGATGAATCTTGATTTAACATTCAGAACGATTCTGAAAGGGCAATGTTATGGTGAGAATTGGGGACACGTTGTGGAGCACTAAACATTATTCATTGAAAGAGACTATCATAGAAGAGGCTTACTCGTATGGGCTGGGAACAGCTGCACAACCTCTATGTCATTCCTAATGGTTCCATCACAGATGTCTGATATAGCAATGAAATTCCACACCTTCTTGTGTGTTCTTTTATCTCCATACATTCATGTTCTTAAGCTCCATACATTCATGACTTAACTTCTCAAGTTCTTCAAATTTTAATTTCAAGGTTTCAAACATAGCTTTAATGTACAAATTTTATCAGTTTCTTCCGAACTGACATTTTCTATAATTTGATTGTACAATCCAGTGAAAGCACAAAGAACGACTGTGCGTTATCCATTTTAAATAATTTCAAACAAGAACAAAAGTACCTCTCTATCACATCAATTGATCACCACTTGTCAAAAATTCAATAAAATCTACCCAATTTTAATATTTTTTTCCTTTTACTTACACATCTAAATAATATTTCCAAGCAATTTACACTTTTAAGAACAGCGATAAGCTGTTTAAAATAAAAACCGTTTTCTTTTCTTAATACAAATAATGTTGTTCCTAAAAGTATATAAATCCTCACCTGAGACACAAAAATTTAAACAGCATCCATGGAGTTGCAAACATGTATATCAATTTCTGACTTGAACTATTCTTAACTTGTAGCGTTAACAAAGAGCAACACGACTGATTCAATAATATTAAACATTAATAATTTTATGATCGAGTAACACAAGCAGAATGACAGTCAGGAAGTCTGGGTCGATACACTAACTTCAAAATGAGTAAGAAAAGACAATATTCTCTCTAAAATTATTTTTAAAACTGTTAACAAAGCTGACTGGTAAAATCAAATGCAAGTGAAAAAAGTATTGCATACTAAGTGATGAGATTAGCAACAACTCTAGAATGCTAAGATAATGGTGAGCTGAAAGTGAAACTATTCACAAAATTGTATGGGTACCTTTCATTCAAATTCGAATACCTCTACAAAAGCTCTAGTTGCAATTAAAATCCCTCTCCAAAATTAAAAATATGACATATCATATTTTATGGGCTCTAACAGCAAAGTATGTGTTTCCAAGTTTATTTATTTGGCCATGAAACTGTAAACAGAAAATTAAAATATGCATTATTATTTGAATACCCTTGGCTGGCTTATTGTAAAATTAAAGATGAAGTATACTGTAAATACTGCATAATAATATGCTAAGGGATATGCAAGCCAATTAAACAATTGAGATTTTGGACAATTAAAGAAGGAGACTTTTCACAACTGGAGAAAAGTGTAATGAAAAATTTCGTGACCACCAAGGAAAAAATACCATAAGCTTTCCTTACTATCAGCTGAGACTTTAAGAAACGTTATTCTTGGTCACAAATAATCCACAGTGGATGCCACTGATATCACCAGTGCTCATCAAGCTGAAGAAAATCGAAGAAAGTTTATTCTTATAATAAAAACAGTGATCTGTGGAGAATGGATTTCTATTATGAATTTGCTGCAATTCTGAGAAAATGAATGTAAATGGCATGGAGGTAGAAAGAGGTGACACTTTCCTCTCATTATGGCTGACACAGTGCTGCCGAACTTTTGTAAGCTGAAGAGGGTGTGGTACTTTTGTTTACATCCAGAGCATGTTACCTTGACAGTGGTATGGTAGTACAAGCCCCAAAACTTTCACACAAAATAAACATTCATTGTTGGATGGGTAATAGTAATTTGTATACTCTAGAGATATTTCCGCACAAATCACATCTTAGTTATCTTTTTAAATCTTGCAACAGTGATTTTGATTGTGAATTTTTTTTATAAAATTCTAAGTTACTGGATTACAAGAATAGATTTTAGCAAAATGTTATGTGTAAAGAATGATAAATACCTCGAGGTACCTTTGAAATATCAAAGTATTGCAAAAATATAACACACTTTAAAGCTCAATTTCCTTATAACTGAATATTTTTTGATGCCCTTGATAACACATTTGCTACTTTTATTGTGTTTCAAATATCAGATGTTTTTTTTAAATACATTTTTTGTCATCCAAAAAATACTGAAATATGCACTCTAAAATTTTTTTGTCGGAGAAGAATAATAGTTGCTCACTTTAAATTCACTTACATTTATTTAATTGAAAAATAATCGGTTTGGGTTTATATATCTGGAAATATACAATAAAATTACCTCAAAATCCTGAACCCTTTCTTAAAATTAATAAATATATAGGCAGATACGCTAATAATGTAATATAAATTTTGATAATGAATGTATCCAAAACCATATTTTAAGTCAGTTTGCAACTTGATGGATATATCTAATACGTAGTGTATTCGGAAACTAAGTACCGTTTCATTCTAGCGCCGTCGCAGCGCTGTGGTAGGCATCCCGCGCATGCGCACTAGTCTTTCTCATTCACTGACTTTCAATTGTCGCCATTTTGTTTGCTCTATGCTGTGTTTTCAGTTTGCTGTGCACATTCAAAATGTTTAAGAAAATTAGTTCTCCCGTTGACTGTGAGATTTGGGCCATGATTAAATTTTTGAACGCGAGGAATGTTAAACCGGTCGAAATTTATCGTCAAGTGACAGAAGTTTACGATGAATACACGATAAGTGATAGAATGGTGAGAAAGTGGGTAAAAATGTTTAATGCAGGTCGAACAAATGTCCATGCCGAGGCTTGGAGTGGTTGGCCTTCTGTTGTCACCGATGATTTGGTAAGGAAAGTTGATGAAGCAATTCATGAGAACAGACGCTTCACAATGACAACTCTTTCAGAGGCATTTCCACAAATTTCACGTACTGTTTTGTTCGAAATTGTGTCTGACCGCTTGAATTATCGCAAACTGTGTTCCCGATGGGTTCCAAAAATGCTCACTGATGTTCACAAAACAAAGCGACTTGGTAGTGCCCTGACATTCTCACGCGGTACAGTGATGAGGGAGAAAACTTTTTAAACCAAATTGTGACAGGTGGTGAAACTTGGGTGTGTCATTTCACACCAGAATCGAAACAACAATCGATGGAGTGGAGACACGCTCATTCTCCGAAAAAACAAAAGTTCAAAGTGACAACGTCATCACAAAAAATCATGTGCACTGTCTTCTGGAATAGGAAAAGCGTTTTGCTTACTGAATTTCTTCCCAGAGTTGAAACCATTAATGCGGCACGATATTGTGAGACTTTAACAAAACTAAGGCGTGCCATTCAAAATAAACGAAGAGGAATGCTCAGTAAAGGAATTGTGTTGCTCCATGACAATGCTCGGCCCCATACTGCTGGTGTCACTCAATCGTTAATTCGACAGTTTCATTGGGAGCAGTTCGATCACCCGCCGTACAGCCTGGACTTGGCGCCGTCCGACTATCACTTGTTCCTGCACATGAAGTGCGAGCTTGGTGGCAAGCGCTTTGGATCTGACGATGACACGAAAAATGCTGTGGAGTCGTGGTTATCGAAACTGGCGGGAAGTTTCTTTGATGATGGTATACAGAAACTGGTCACCCGCTATGACAAGTGTTTGACCATTGGCGGAAACTATGTTGAAAAATAGTTTAAGACATGTATTTTCATATAAAAATAAAATTGGATTCGAAAAAATTGTTTTACTATTTTTGTTTTTCAAAACGGTACTTAGTTTCCGAATACGCCTCGTAATATAAAGTTGTGCATCTTAAAATATTTGTAATTCAGCATATAGGTCAGATTAAGTTTTTTAAATGGGGCAAAGCATGCAAGGGCTATTTGCCTAACAGGAGATATGCCTTTGTGGAGAACTTTTGAAGGAAAACTGACTTCTTCAGTGCAAATTAAAAATTATGCATATAATTTTCATTATATTTATAATATATATTTCTTATGTAAATATTCTGCTATATGTGAAACTATTGAACATTACTTGAAAAATATACTGAATGCATGCATAAAAAATAGATTTTCACATGCAAAAAAATGGAAAATGTTAAATACATATGAGTATTTATGCATATCCTTGTAAAAACCATCATTTTCCTTTAACTAAATATGAAAATGTTTATGAAATTATTTATGTATTTGGAAATTATTATGTATTTGGAAATGAAGGATTTATTTATTCACAAACTTCTGTGAATGGCTACTGCAACCTCAGAAGTTGTCATGCCTGGCACTGTTGGCAGTGTGTCAATGTGGCTGGCACTGTTAGAAGCATATATGATAACCAATTAAAAGAAGTAACCATAAAATAAACAAACAAAAATAAATTTTGCAAATTTTTCTAGCCGAGCTTTAGAACTGGCATTTTGTTCTAAATTGATTTTTAAAACTGCTATAATGCCTCCTTGTTTCTTTGCTTTAACATAACCGTAGCTACCTCAATACCAATATATTTATGAATACAGTACCTGCTCAAGTCAAACTTTTCAATGATGCAGGCAACTGACATTCATTCAGTGCCAAGAAAAATACTGTCACAATTAGTTTGCCCTGATTTTAACTTTCAAGTTTCACAGTGAAAAAGCAATTTTTGAAGTTTTGTTAATATTATAAGCCTTTCCTTTCACAATAATGGCATGTGAAAAATGACATCATCGTTAAATTCTGAGTACATTTCACAAAGAGACCACAAATTTAATGGCCATTTAATTATTACTTTTTATGTACATCTATATCAGACATTACTTTTACGATCTCTCATCGTATATGATATTCAAAGGGTATTTACAAAGGAAGTAATACCTCCACAGAGGACTTCTATAGAAAATTAGATTTTATTTACTTTAAACATGGAAAAACTAGAAATAACCCATATAGAGGAAACCCGCTGAGGTCTTAAGAACAGAATTAGGATATAAGGCATTTCTCCCGCCTTCTTAGCGAGCCTTCGTGGTGTAGTGGCCTGCACATTCAGTGCGTAATTGAGAGGTCCGCGGTTCGATTCCCAGTGAAGGTGTTGCTAACTTTTCATCTCTTCTACTTCCAAAAATTACCTAATGTCTCTACACTGGCACCCCAAAACTTTTGAATGGATCATGTCGTTAGAGGGCGGAAAATTTACGTTGACCCCTTCGACCTTTCAAGTTCCTCAGATGGCAACGAATCCAATGGAAGGATTTGGATTTATTGTGAAAACAATGCGTACAGCGATGAAGCCAGACACAACATTTGCATTTTACCTTATATCCAGTGAATCAGCTGCAGAAAATTACAATCGCTAATACAGCCTTAAAAGGTCAAGCTCTCAGCTGGTACAAAGGAACTGGTAAGTTCTTGTTGGGGGATCCAGGTTCAGACATGTATAATTGTGAAAACTTCCAAGTCTGTGTTGCTAAAAGTTGTGAAAGACCGGGCGAAGCTAGATTTGGAATTGTTTAGCAAATATCAAATCAGTTTCGATGATTTGACAGAGTTCATTCTACAGAAAATTCAAGTATTCAATCTATTGTACGGGAAGAGGACAGATAATGAACTTATCAAGGTGATTTTACTCTGTCTACTATCATCAGCTTAATATTTTCTTGAAGTCCACAACCCACAAACATTATAAAACCTCTTCCAGCTTGCGGTGAAGTTTCAAAACAGAAGAAATGTGGAGAATGCACGTGCAAATCAGTTTCTACAATATTCAAGGTTTACTCCGCAGAAGAAACCACAAATTCAGCAGACGGAAAAGCAGAATTTAAACGAACAGCGGTGATCAAGAAGGGGGCATTGTCACCGAGTGGGAAGAAAAGTCACTCAGAAATCCACTTAAACCCAGGGGTGATGTAAAACCTAGCCTTGTCAGAGACAGATATTCTTTTGAATAGCATGCCAACCACTGCCCTCCTGAACACCACAGCTCAGCGTTAATTTCTTTCACGAGGTTTCTTTAAGAAAAATTTTTGTCGTTATAGGCTGTTTAAAACCACGGGATAACAAGTAATTGCTGCCCAAGGCAGGCAGTGCATATGTTTGGGGAAAATTGCACTGCATGTAGAAATTAAAAACGAGGTGTTAAAAGTAAATTTTTTAGTGGTTAAAGATTTGCTAACATCCATAATATTAGGGGTTGATTTCTTATGTGCAGCTAGCACGAATCTTAATTTCCAGAATTCTACGTTGCAGGCACACATGGACCCTGTGGAAGAACAGGAAGAGTCTATGCCACAAATAAGCCCGAACTAAAAAGGGCTGTTGGATGATGATTCTCCTCATCAAGGATTTGGCAATTGTACCAGTTCCTAAAAACCCCAGTCGCCCTTTAAAAGGGGGAGTATATAAGATATATCTCCCGCCTTCTTAGCGAGCCTTCATGGTGTAGTGGTCTGCACGCTCAGCGTGTAATTGAGAGGTCCGCAGTTCGATTCCCGGCAGAGGTGATGCTAATTTTTCATCTATTCTGCTTCCAAAAATTACCTAATGTCTCTGCAAGGAATAAAGCAAAAACTTTCATGACTAGTTAACAAAACCACTGGTTAGTTATTACGTTTGAGGACTCTGAGCTAGGTGGTTTTAACAGCTAAATTGATAGCGATTTCAAATCACGAATTCAAAAAGCATTACATCAGTTTACTATTTATAAATGAAACAAATTCATATTTCTTTTTGGTCCCAAAACACACCTTTACATGCATTCTTTTGAATAAAACTGCAGAGCACTAAAAGCTCTGGTGACTTTATTCTTGAATAATAAACAGAAATTCTCATCATATGTGTATCATTAAACTAAATTACATGCAAATATTTTCATCATAAGCATTCAAACTGTGCAATGAAATTAATGAGCTTATTTTAATTCAAAGTTTCACTAATAAAAGCTAATAGTTAAACGTATAAAATTTAGTGAAATACTGATAAATAACACTCTAGCTTGGCACAAAAAAGAAAGATTGCTAAATTATCTGGTCACATCTACATATATTAAAACAGCATGCCATGAAATGGATACGTTGGATTTGTGTACTAAGAATTACGAAAAAAAACTAGGCTATGTGCCTCCAGCCAAGAAAAGTTGTTTCAATTAAAAAAAAATGGTTACTGTAAAACAAAATTTCCTAATTACAGTCTTCTACTTTAAAATTTTAAAAAGACATTTCTATCTTCTGGATAGGAGAATGACTTCATATTATAGGAGTTATGATGGTTACTGTAAATCTCTGACATCAGAGCATCACCTTTTCTCAAAAACCATGGACTAGTAGTATTTACAATTGAGTAGTATAAGCAAAATTCCTATTTTTACATAAAGGCTTGTTAAAAATCAATTAGTAGTATTTTTTATCATTAATTTTAATTTATAGTAGGTTTTCCAATTATTACCACAGTTTTTCAGAACTCAGTAAGCTACACAACCAGGAAGTGCATGAAGATAAAATAAATAAATCTCACCCTTCAGGTTCTAGCTTAGAACTTGAAAGATAACATACTGCTCTTCTTCTAATGCAAAATATACAGACAAAAAACTACACAGATGATTACAATCTGTATGTTGCAAAACTCACCAGCCATTTCATTTAAAAAAAAAAATATTTTTGCATTATATTTAAATAACTGTTGAAATCATCAATTCAGCACAAAAAAAGTCAAACTTGAAGTGAAAATGTCCATTTCATTGTACTCAGATCCTTAACAAAATTCAAACATTATTCCCATAATTGATTTTGTAAGGCCTAATTACTGAAAGCAAAGATGAAATTACACATAAAAACAATCAAGCTTAATAATGAAGCCACTCCAAATCTCCAATGCATATAAACTCAACCACATAACTTGAAAATGAATTTTTAATATGACATTTTCCATATTAAAAATAATTGATTTTTTTAACTTGTGTTTCCTTTCCGAGTATAAAACTATGAAGTATCTATACCAATATACAGTGCACTGTTCTAATATTAAAGATAAATGAGAGATTTCATGAAAAATAGATTGGTAACAACATTTTCCACTGGAAGAGGATTTATTTTTATAAATGCATACAGCAACATATGAACTCAAACATTAAAAAAGAAACTTAAACTTCATAAACACTTGACAGTTTGAAGTTTCAGACAGTCTATGAGAAAATATTCTCATTTAAACTGGCATTATGAAGGAACTATTTAACTCTGAGTTATGCAGTTGTATTCCAACCATTTTAATTGTATTGCAAACTGAAATTAAACATACCACACTTTAAACTGATATTTTACCTACCTATAAATTGGCAGCATAATTGGTAGAGGATATGAAAGATGTGGTGCAATTGCTAAAAGATTGGCTCTCTCATGAAGTGCTTCTTTCACCATTCGATACTGAAAAATAATTAAAAAGAAATCCAAAAACAGTGAAACCACATTTTCTTATCTTTGTTGGCTTTTTTCTCAGAATAAAGGAAAACCATACTTGCTCAAGATCTAACTGCAAAATAGCTTTCTGCAAATAACGAACACCACCATGAATCAGCTTAGTACTACGACTACTTGTTCCAGAAGAAAAATCATCTAATTCAACAAGAGCAGTTTTTAAACCTGAAAAATCAAGAAAATTTAATATAGAATGTCCTTAAAAGGAGAAAAAAATCAATAAAGAAAAAGGAAGATGCATAAAAGAAAAACTTGTAAAAACATTTTTTAAATATGTCAATGCAAACAGCAAAAAAAAAAAAATTACATGATATGACATGTCTGAAGAGATATGATGATTTTACGAGATTTAGAAAGGGGATTTCAAGACTAAGCATACAAATAGACATGTCCAGTCATGACCCAAAATCCATTAACTGAAAAATTAGGGCATGCATACTTTCCCACAAATCATGAAAGTTGGCACAGAACTCCCCCCCCCCAAACCTGCAGCATTCATTCCCAAGTTTAAGGAAACATATCTCTTTCTATTTATCTGGATAATCAATAGATACAAGCTATGGATATAGCATAGAATTTTGGAGCCCTTTGAAAAGGAAACATGCTTTTTTTTGTCCTCAGGATTGCATATTTTGAAAATACTCTACTGCATGCTGTTCCATAGAAGGTAAGTTCCAAATTTTAATATTTTTCAAAATGCAAGGGGGGGAATCATAGCTGTTAACTTCTTTCTTTAAAAAATAAATAAATTTTCTTATCAGGAATTAAATCAGGTTACGAGAAACCAAGATAAAGATCTTATGAGAGTGTTTGAGATTATGCTTTTCCATTGTTAGCATTTCATTGTCATCAAACAACTGTGATTTATCACAGTTGTTTGATGACAATATGTTTGTCAAAAATGGTCGATGGGAAAAATATGCAAGTACCAAAATCAGATAGCTATTAAATCACAGTTGTTTGATGACAATATGTTTGTCAAAAATGGTCGATGGGAAAAATATGCAAGTACCAAAATCAGATAGCTATTTTGTGGCACAATACACCTCATACAGGGACAAATAGCTTGCAAAAAAGCTTTAAAACTAACTTCGCTGTACTACAGCAACAGATGACCTTGAACTACTGAACTCACTAATGCCCAAATGAATAAGGTGTTGAACACTAGCTGTCTGACTAAATTTAAAATCCCAGTGAAAAGGCTGGCTGTTTATGTCATAAGCATTTCTACATGTGTAACATAAATACGAGTCAGTTTCCCTTAAAAAGGCTTCCATGAAAGCATCTCTTCTAAATGACAGACCATCACTGTGTGCTTTGCCGTATTCAGTTAAACAAAAATAACAGCAATCTTGAAATATTCAAAAGTTAGTAAGTGCCTTTATTCTGGAAATAATGCACTGAAGTGACTGCATTCTTTATTTATATTAATGAAGTAATGAAATTACTATTGGCATTTATTACTTTGAGCTGTATAATAATTACTTAACTCTTCATTTCCAAAACCCTTAGATGGAAAAAAAAAAAAAAAAGCCTTCTGGAAGATTGAAGAACATAACAATACATTTTAAACAACAGGTTAATGTAATGCAGAGTTGAAATACATTTCATGACTGAATAAAAACTACAATACTTGAAGTGTTCACGAGTAACATCAATTCTATTTTTTAAATCTTTTGAAAATTGCTTATATATGTATTCCATACAGGATATATAGTTTTCAGATGATTTAATTAGCCAATATATATTATAAGGATCTCTTCAAACAAGTAAACAGATAAACAGATAACTGAAGAAAATTCAAGAATCCTAGCAAATATGATCAGAAAATGAAGCAAAATTACAATGAACCTATTATTTGATTATGGCAAAGCATATTAGGGCCTATGGAAAAGAATGCTTTCATGGTGAACTTTTTAAGGTTAATTTGACCCATATCTATATTGCACATTACGAAAACTATGAAACATCATACAAGGTATAGAACTCAGGTGGTTGAATTACTAATGTTTTAACGGCTAACAAAATTTTTAAAAAACTTATACAAAGTTAACAAATGTGCTAAGAAATTTATAAAATTTCCAATCACACAAGACTTCCATGCACAATTATTTTAAATCATACACAATTACTTTATTTATGTAGGCATAGGACAAACTGTGAGCTATCTGAATTATTTGAAACTCATCATTCTGCACTTCGAGCCAGTTTTAAAAACATGAATCTAAATATTTTATAATTTAATGGATTGTAATATTTATAAGACAGTATTCTTGTAGCACATACTGACAAAGACTGCACGACAATACCACCCCCATAAACATTAATTCAATAAAATTGAACCATATAAATATCTCTCTTTTTAAAAATTTATTAGAGTTTTGGTATTTCTTCTTGTTCAAGCTAGAATAAATATTAATCAATCCTACTTGATTTAATCAATAAAATTATATTGTAAAACAGTGCTCAGAAGTTAATAAAAAAATGGACTGCAGATGTATTATCAGTTTGAATACATTACTTTCATTAGATTGCTGTACTCATGGATTTAAGCAACTAATATTCTTAACATACTTTTCAGTCTGTATCATAATGAAATATTTCCATTAATTGATCACAAGAACTGCAAACTAAAATCTAGATTAATCAAATTCACTCCATTCAAATAAAATTAGAATTGAAAATATTCCATTGTATATTAACATATGCCATTTGCTTTTCAGAAATAACATAATAGCTGCAACATATATTTTTAAAATTAAACAATTAGATTACATTTCTATCAATAACATAGTTTTTTTTTACATTAGCTTGTATCCCAAAAATTTCATTGCCACTAAAAGATCTGAGATACCAAAATTTTTTTAAGTTGCCTTTTACTCTCCAATATCTGAAAACTAAAAAATCAAAACATACCTAAAGTTTTTCATATTATATTATATTTCATATTCATACTTAAATGCTTACAGTTTTAAATGATTGTAAAAGACTTTTAAAAAAGTATACTATGTTACTGGAAAAAAATGGGTACTTATCAGTTATACAATGGGAATCGCATAGTTTTGGCAACAATTGTTTGGTACCATGAAACAAAACATCAAAAGTTAAGTACCACAAATCAAAATAAACAACAAAGTTATTGAGAAAACTTAAACTTACTTCAAAAGAAGTGCATTCTACAAGAAAGACAAATTCTGAAAAAAAAAATTGCTCATAGAACTTCTATTTTCTATTCGCTATTGTGTATATTGTCTTTCCCTTTTGTATAGCTGTACGCAATAGCAAATTTCTATTCGCTATTGTGTACAGCTGTACAAAAGGGAAAAACAATGCTGGAGAGTTATTACCAGAACATTGGATTATTTTTTTTAATAATTCAAACATAAGCTACAAAAAATTTAACACATATAATTACATCTAGTGCCACCACAATGGAATTGTGTGGCAATTATTTACAGAAGAAAAGGAATAGTACTTTCTAAATACCAACAACTTTATTTTCAACAGTCAAAAGGATTGCTATGCTTTTGGCATACGTTTGACTTTAAATGTAAGAATCCAGTCAATGCAAGCATGCATCATGCCAGTGGATTATATACATCAGATTTAATCATCATCAAAAGGATTGCCATGCTTTTGGCATATGTTCAAGTTTAAATGCAAGAAGCCAGTCCATGCAAGCATGCATTATGCCAGTAGATTTATAAGCTTCATATTTAACCATCATTTTGCTGAAAATTATCCACCTGCAGCTAAAGTGTAAATTTCGGTCATAAGATTTTTTTCACTACTTATGTATTAATGCAACCATGTCACAATTTGGCGATTTTTTTACAGCTAAAAAGGTAGAAATTACTTATGAGGTGCAAGTTAGTGGTTTTCATGCATTTTTAAAGAAATATTCCCAAACTATCGATATTTATAGTAAGTCAGTAAGCATTATCAACATATGAAAAGAAAACATACTGTACCAATTTAAAATACAAATTTTAATTATTAAACGAGGATTATGGGATACATTAAGAAAACAAAACGCATTCATATTCAGATCTTTCTGTAATTTTGTGCCATATTCTTCTCTCGAAGTATACAGCGAACGGTTTTCTCTTAAAAAAAATCAGAGAACTGCGGAGACAGCTTCATGCAAACCTCGACAACAGCAGCTATCTCACAGTTTCTACCACGGCTGGCGAATTCCACCTCATGTTTTAAAATTAAGTTTAAGGCAAAAAATATGATTTGTTTATAAAAATCAGTGAAAACTTGGAATGATGGAAAAAAAAAAAAAGAATGCAGACAAAAATGACAGTGCTGTTTGACTGAAGAATTGTACAGTCAAAAGTCGTTAATCGGGACTCGTCGGGACTTCGGCGATTCTGGATTATCGATTTTTCCGGATTATAGATCATCAGTTTAAATCTCGTAAGATGGCATGCAGAAATTCTAAAATTAAAAATATGAAACCGTAATTTATGAAATAAGAACATTATGATCTAAAGGGTATCAAAATTTACAAAAAAAAAAGCTTAATATTTATTTGTTTACTTTATTAAACATTTCTTTCAATGCAAGTTGTTTAAGTTGCTTCGTTTTATGTGATAATACTTTCTCTTTAATTCTATAAACAGACATAATTTCTTGTTCAGTTACAAAGTTCCGCTGTTCAAGTCCCGTTAATTGCTTTGCCGAGAATACCGACTAACTTGTCAATCGAAATTTTTTTGTTTTCACTAACCTCTCTGTCACATTCTTCATGTCTTTATCCATTTTTTGCAGCAATTCCACTTTTTGTTTGTTGGACATCGGAAACATCTATTCGTTTTGTAGATCTTTGGAAGTTCCAGCATCGGAAATTCTATTTGACATAATCGAAAGTTCAAGTTTACTTTTATAACATTGCTCTTACAGTCTGCAAAAAATAATAAGCGGGATCCAATTCAAAGATTGAGGAACAACGCAATCATTAACATTAACTGAAATAGATAATTAGAGCTTACACTGTCCGTTATACATTAAACGTGCAGGCGAAAACGTATTCTGCACTTGCGCACACGTATATGCGCAGTAGTCAAGGTCTTATGCGCACGCGTAAAACGCCTGTGCGCATGTGCCAACGCAGCACATGCACAGAAAGTTTTTAGCTTTGAGGTCTGGATTATGGGTGT